GCCACTGGACTCTGAAGACGCATGGGGGGGGTACACAGACATGTAGCTACACTGTTTCTGTCTATGGAAGCACAGGGATCTCTGACAAGAATGCTTGTTTCAAATCTCAGTTTTAAAATGAATCTTGATTCTGGAGCGATGGTTCAGTAGTTAAGAGAGGATACTGCTATTGGAGGGGACTCTACTTCAGTTCTCAGCATCCACATTGGGTGACTCTGAACCAGTTATAACCCCAGCTCCAGGGGGTCCTCTGTCCTCTGATTCTGCACTCACATATACATAGGCTAACACACACACACACACACACACACACACACACACAAATACAAAGTAAAATGCATGTTTAAAACAAAACTCATATTTTCCATTAAAGTATTTTTAAAGCTCGGGGATACTTTTATTTAGCAGTGTTTTTTTTATACAGTATGAAAAAAACTAGTTAAAAGTTAGGTGAAGTTTTTAAAAAGCTTACCACTTTAACTATTTTAGGGTGTACATTCAGAGACAGTAGGCACCTTCACAGTGTTCCATAGCTATCACCCCCATCTCCTTCCAAACATTTTTTTTTCACCCCGTCCAAGTAAAACACCATATTCATTAACCAGTCACTGCCCATTTCTTCCTTCCTTAGTTCTTGGCAACTGCTGAGCTGTCTTCAGCCGGTGTAGCTTTGCTATTCCTGGCCATCCCATATAAATGGAGCCGTTTGATGTTTGTTCCTTTGTGTTGGGGTTCTTTATGTCAGAACAGTCGTGTAAAATTCACCCATGTGATTGCATGTGTCAGTACTTTGTTCCTGGTATGTATAAACTAAATGGAATGATTCCAATGGAATACATGAAGCATATTCCACTGTCTATATGTGCCACACAGTTCATGGACTCACCAGCAGGTGGGCGTTCCTGCTGTTCCTGTCTTTGGGCTTTGCAAGTATGTGCACATCCATACTAACAGTTTTTGTTGAATATGTGTAATTCTTTGAGCACACATCCAGACATTAAGTGAAACTGTGATGTTGCCAGCAGGCACCTTGTGTGTTTAACTTTCTGAGGGATGGACGGAGGATTTCCCAGAGTGGCTGAGCAGTGCATGGGATTTCAGTGTCTCCCAAACCTCAGGAGTTCCAGTGTCTCCTAAACCTCACAAATGCTTTTTATCTTCTAGTTTTCTCTTATTTCCTCTCTAGCCATGCTGGTGGGGGTGAGATGCTTGTTTTAGCTTGTAATTCTTTAGCGATTCAGGTCTATTTGGGTTCTTTACCAGTGTCAGGATTATCTGTACTGGCAATTGCTAGGTTTAGTCATCTTTTTTATGATTTCATGATTTTTGTTTGATTCATGTGAGACCACATTTGTGTGTATGCAAAAAATGTATGTGTGTGTACATGCGCGTGCGCGTGCTTGTGTGTGTGTGTGTGTGTGTGTGTGCACATGCATGCAATGCTTGAATCTGTGTCTTGTAGAGAATAGAATTCAGATTGTGTTATATCTGAACTCTTTCCATCTAGAAAAAAAAAGTACAACACATTCTTCAGAGTCTGTATTTTTCTTTTTTTTTTCTTTCTTTTCTTTTTTTTTTTTTTTGTTTTTGTTTTTGTTTTTGTTTTGAGACAGCCCTGGATGTCCTGGAATTCACTTTGTAGACCAGTCTGATCTTGAACTCACAGAGATCCACCTGCCTCTGCCTCCCAACTACTGGGATTAGAGTCATGTGCCACCACCTAGTTAGAGTCTGTATTTTTAAGCAGGAAGCTTTAAATTATAGGGGTGAATTCCAGGGGAAAAAAATCTGGAATCCTTTTTAAGAATACTTTATATTTATTCTTTAACAGTTTCACACATGTAAGCAATATACTTTGATCATACCCATTCCCATGTCCCCTTCCCTCTCTTCCTGGACCTCCCCAAATATACCCTGCCCAACCTTCATATTTACTGTCTTTTTGTTTTAAGTTACCCAATGAGTTCCATTAGTAACTCCAACATGTGCATGGCTGTGGGGCTAGCTGCCAGAGCATGAGCAATGTTTTAGCAGCCACACCCCCAAAGGAAAATGGCCATCCCTTGTGGAGCAGCCATCAGTTGACAATACAGCTCCTCAGCCAGGGTGAGACTTTGGGAGCCCATCCCTCTTCTGTTCTAAATTTTGACTGGCTTGGTTTTGTGTAGGTAACTTAGCTGCTGGTAGTTCATAAATACGGTGGTCATGTCCTGTCACAGTACTCCTCCCCATTCTCCCAACATTCAAGTCTTTCTACCCCTTCTTCTGTGATGTTCCCTGGGGCTTGAGGAGATTGATATAGATCTGAACACTCAGTAGTCACTCATTCTCGGCACTTTGACTACAAGTCTGCATGGAATGCTACCCACTGCAAAAAGAAACTTCTCTAGCTATGTTGAGAACAACACTATTCTATGGTTCTAAACAAAAATACTCAGAAAGTAGTTTGACAACATTGCAACTTAGCAAGAAAGTTGCACCAGGTTCTCAACTAGGGCCTACGACTTTCACAGCCGTGGCTTCTGAATAGGTTTACAGTACAGCACAAACTCCCACCTGTGGAGCTGACCCCAAATACAATCAGAAAGTAGCTGGTTACTATCATCCATGCCACTATTTCACTGGTGGATGCATCTTGCCTGGCTGCATTGCAGCATGTGTTACAGCCTACAGAGTCCAGCGCTGGACCATTGGTGGTTTAATACTGTTGATGTGCTTTCTCCCCCAGCTTCCTGGTAGCATCTTCTACTATTTTGAAATCTAGGCAGCAGGGAAAACATTTCCATGAAACTAGTTCCTTTTTATTTGTGTTCATTTTCACAAGAGCATCATTAAGCAATCCTATTCTTTGATTTTCACACACATTAAAAAGAAAGTTAAAACCCCACTCAGCCTTCAGATTCCCCCACTTGTTGGCCCACAGGTGGGCGACACAAAGTGGACAAGGAAGAGTTTATGAAAATGCCTGTCACTTTCAGTTCTTCTTTATTAACGGACTGTTAATAACATAACAGTTTTGGAAACTCTCCATCATTTTAAAATACTGTCAGCTCAGTCTCTGTGCATGATTCTGTATAGAGGTCTCTTTGAGACTGTTGAGATTTCACTGTGTGAGGTCTGCTGGTGGAAATCCCCTACTGACCTTCCTTTTTCTTCTTCATTGTGTGAGGCAGGGAGGTATCCCTGGAACTTAGCAGTGATCAGAACTGCCCCAAAGCTTTAAACAGGCAAACAAACAAACAAAACAAAACAAAACACACCTCCCCACCATGCCCCCTAACCCCACTATCATTCCACGCAAGACAGCAGGGCAGAGAATCTGAATCTAGGGTGACAGTGTGTGGATTAATAAGGGATTTAGATATGCTGAACCAAAAGTTCCTTGGCAAAATTGAATTACTTTCTTCGGTCCTCTCATTTGTACAATGGAAAATATAAGCATCTGCTTAGCGCTTTCTCCATTGCAAGAAACAAAAGTGGGCCTCACATGGTCACGCACAGTCAGGTGTGCAGTGCACAGGCATGGTCTGAGGGTGAGCACCCACCTTTCTTTTCACCCACGAGGTCTCTCTATGAGCAGGATCTTTTTCTAGAGCATTAGTTTCTGAGCGTGGGTTGCTGGGTTTGATTTAAGCAGTTGTGAGTTGTGCTCAGGTGGTAAGGAAGATGGAGTCCAGTATGAGGTTTGTATGGAACTTTTTGCCAGAGAATGAATTTGACCTCACAGACTGGATGTCTTTGACCCGGAGCGATTAGAACAGCACACACACATAACCTCTGTGTTAGGTAAATACCCATGCAAAACTGAAGATGCTTGTTTTCTGTGGCACTGGCCTCCAACACAGTAGACCATTCTTTAGCAGCTTGTCAAGAAGAAATTATAAAACATGTACTAGAAGTTTCACCAGTGACCAGTTATCTGTGGCTGTACGAAAGGGAAGGGAAACAAATAATGGGACACATCATTGTAGCATCAATCTTCACCTTTGACCTTACAATACACTCCTGTTCTGCCAGGCTGTTCAAGATCCTGAATTCCCTCCTTCGGATATTGTCAGAATTAGGGATCCAGTGGGGCAGTGGGATATTTTTTTTAATTTAAGGTTTTTGTTTTTCCCGGATTTTGTGTGTGTGTGTGTGTGTGTGTGTGTGTGTGTGTGTGTGTGTTGTATGTGTACATGCCTATGTGTTTGCCATGTGCATGTTTGATGCTGGATATCCTCCTTAATGGCTCTCCACCTTATTTTTTGAGAGAGTGTCTCTCACTGACCTGGGACCTACTAATTGAGCAAATTAGTTGGCCAGCATGCTCCAGGAATCTTCTGGTCTCTACTTTCCCAGATCTGGGATTATAGGCTGTTCTGGGTAGATTACTGCCAACTTGATACGAGCTAAAAGTCATCTGAGAGGAGTGGATATCAATTAAGAAAATGTATTCATAGATCTGGCTATAGGGCATTTTATCAATTAGTGATTGATGGGGGAGGGCCCAGGCTATGGTAGCTGGTGCTATCCCTGGGCTGGTGGTCCTGGATTCTATTTTTAAAAAAAGAAAGAAAAGAAAACAAACAAACAAAAATGGCTGAGCAAGCAATGGGGAACAGGCCAGTAAGCAGCAACCTTCCATGGCCTCTGCATCAGCTCCTGTCTCCAGGTTCCTATCCTGTTTGAGCTTCCATCTTGACTTCCTTGATGATGAAAAATGATGTGGAAACATGAGCCAAATAAACCCTTTCCTTCCAAATTGCTTCAGTCATGTGTTTCTTCACGACAGTCGTAACCCTGGCCTAGACTCAGGCATACACCACACCTGGCTTTTTATGTGGGTGCTTGAACTTGAGTCTTCAGATTTGCCAAGTGATTTACAGTCAACCTTATTGTAGACCCTCACATGCTCAGTTTTGCTTAGTTGTGAAATTTAGCACTTCAGTAGTACATGCTGTCCTCAGTCAAACCCCATGACTTCAGTTTTTACTTACCACCACCCCCCCCCATTTCAGGAAAAGAAGATTTTCCAGATCCCCTGGATGCATGCAGCTAGACATGGGTGGGATGTGGAGAAGGATGCTCCACTCTTCAGGAACTGGGCGATCCATACAGGTAGTAGCCCTTGCCTTGCTTTTTTACGCAGTTGCTATTAGCGAATTTTGCTTATGGCTCATGAAGGCAGCTCTGAAATCCCTCGACTTGTTCCTAGGTACATCAAGGACATGTATGAGGAGTATAGACAGCATCACTCAGAAGTGATGTCCCACTCTTCCTAGAGGTTCTTAATCCTTAAAATTCCCATAGATGTGGTATTTTCATAAGTTCTTGGGGGTCAGTTACTAGGGGACCTTCAGCACTACTAACTTATAGTAATTTATATATTTATTGCAAAATTTCTGCAGGGAGCTATCTTCAGAAGTGGACTTTATTTAATATTTAGAGCTTGTTAATTCTGCTTGTTGACTTTCTAGTCTTACGTATCGTTTGATTCTTCAGTCTACCATTTTATTTTCATTTCAAACTATATGGTAGAACCGGAAAGACCACTGTGGTCCCTGTTGTCTAGAGTTTTGAAATAAAATGCCTGTGCCTTAGACATGTTCCAGCTTCCAGCAAAGCAGGATAGTTAATTATCTGAAACAAAGAGGCTTTTCATTGCCTGTCTGTCTGTCTGTCTGAACTGTTTTTAGACCTTTCCCCCTGTGTTAATGCCCACCCCCCTTTTCTTTGTTTTTGGCTATTTTGCTAGGAAAGCATCAACCAGGAGTAGATAAACCTGATCCGAAAACATGGAAAGCAAATTTTCGATGTGCCATGAATTCCTTGCCTGATATTGAAGAAGTGAAAGATAGAAGTATAAAGAAAGGAAACAATGCCTTCAGAGTGTACCGGATGTTGCCCTTATCTGAACGACCTTCTAAGAAAGGTAAAGCTGTTTACTGACTAAATAAATGATCCCTCGCTGTAGACCACGATACCCTTTAGTTTCTTCTTTTCTGCTTCTGTCATCACTTTGAATGGTAGAACACTTGTTCACTCTAGAGGTGATAATTCTATATTTACTTACTTGCCTTGGAATAATGACTTTCAAGGCACCCAAGGCAAAAAAGATACATTTGTAGTTTTGTGCTTGTATAGTTTAGGCGCAGTGGGTTTTGGAAAGAATTTAATGTAGAAAATGTGGGAAAACCCATCTTTCTCTGTCCATCATGAATTGATCTGGAACTACCTTTTTGTTGCCACAGGAAAGAAACCAAAGACAGAAAAAGAAGAGCGAGTTAAGCACATCAAGGTAATCTTTGGTTGTTTAGAAAGCCCGTGTTGTGGCCATATATTAACGATTCATATTCTGTCTCATCAGAGCAAGTAACAGGACCTTGTGGAGGCTTTGCCCTTTCTCCTCTTGCTGTTGTGTTTTATGTGCTATTTATATTTCCTCCTCTGCATGTACCCACTTTCAGACTCAAGTACACATATGCTTAGCTTACTCCAGTGTCCCAGAGAAAAAGTACAAATGGCGTAACAGATTCACAGAGCTTGACTGCCACCTCTCCTTAGTCTGTTACTCAGCTCCAACCAAGCTCCAGCGACCAACTTAGGTCTAATACAGTGAGATATGTTTTCAGGCTATGAAATATGTTTGAAAGCTATAGCTATTATTATGTACATCTATCAAGAAGTATAAACCATCTTTCTGTCTGCTCTGTCATGAACTTGGGAACACAGTAACTCAGACACTCCATTAACGTGTGTCTCAGGGGTTCTCTATGTGTGTTGGAGGGTTTCAGTCAAATACGTGGTCTGACCACCCCTACACTTCAGTTCTCTTGTTACACAGAAGGTGTAGCCCTTGTTACATAGTGAGAGAGGTGTCAAATCCCATGCCTGACCTGACTGAGAGAGCCCATCAGTTGCTAAGCAAAGGGCAGAGAGTGCAGTTAGAGACGCAGAGACCACCCTTGACGGGATGGCGGTCACTGGCTTCTGTGTGCAGAGGGAGGGACTGACTGACTGACATATAAGAGTTGAGTGGCTTGTGTGCAAGGTCCCACGGCTCCTTAGAACTGAGCTTGAACTAGATGTGGAAAATTCTGATTTATAATAAAAAAAAAAAGTAAAAAAATACAAAGGGACTTAATTTAGGTATCTCATTAGGTTTGGGAAGGGACAATATCCTGGGCTGTCATTTGGGCCTGGTCCCCATGATTCCCCTCCTCAGCAAGGTATCCTCATGGAAAATGATGTATGTAGTGTTTGCATAGAACCCCATTTACTTTAAATTACCCCTTAGTTACTTTTAGTACCTAATATTACATAAAAGTTGTTGTGTTACATCTTTAAGGGAATAATCACAAGAAAAGAAGTCTATACATGTTTACTATAGATCAGTGGTTGGTTGAATCTTATGTATAGGATTGTGATATACACATGGTTAACTGCTGTTAGATTTATTTATTTTTTAAAATGTGTATAGGCTGCCTGCCTGTATGTCTACGTACCATGTACATTCCTGGTACCTACAGAGGCCAGAGGTCCTCAGATCCCTTGGAGCTGGGCTGGGTTTATGGACAGTTGTGGGCTTCTATCTGTGCTCCAAGAACCTGGATCCTCGAGAAGAGCAAGTGCTGGGAATGGAGAAGCCATTTCTCTGGTCCCTGTAGTTAGAGTTTGGGGGAAAACTTAGCTAGCTGTTGGAGGTTTAGAGGTGTGTATCTCTGCAATGGAAAGTAAGTACTCTAGGGAGACTGGTGAGCAGTGATACTTGGTTTCATTTTTGATATTTTTCAGTGTCTTATTTGTTTTAAAAATAGCAAAGGATTAGGGATTGGAGAGGCGGCTGGGTGGTTAACAGTGCTTCTAGAAGGCCCAAGTTTGGTTCCTAGCACCCATGTCCGGTGGCTCACAACCACCTTCAACTTCAACTCCGAGAGATCCCAAGCCCTCTTCTTTCTTCTGCAGTAACACACACTCACACACATTCACAAATAAAAATAATAATTAAAAAGTGCAGGATCAGTAATGAATTTTGTTGAGTTTTATTGTGGAAAATTTGTATATTATAGGAAGGAGTCAGATGTACACTGGAGCATACCCTGATTTTAGTATTAATCAACTTCTACCATATTTGCTTCATTCCTGCTTCCATGCTTTTCCCGACTTCCAATGTGACACCATAGATATTTGACCCATTTTGACTTATAGAAACAATTTCTGATAGCTGTCAAAATATTTTGAAGCAAGTTTCAAATATGTTATTTCTTCTTTAAATATTTTACCATATATCTTTAAAAGTAAATACCCTTTAAAAATACCATGGCATCGTTATTTTAGCTGATGAATTTGACAGGCTCCCTGGTATCATCCTTGAATTCAAGATGCTAAAATAGGGAGATTTTGAGGATGAGGTTGTCCTGGACCATAAAATATAGAAACTTTGTTTCAGACAAGAAAGAGAACCAAGTGTGATTTTTAAGTGTGTGTGTGTGTGTGTGTGTGCGTGTGTGTGTGTGACTTTTCTTTGTTTGTTTGCTTGGTTGGTTGGCTTTTCTTTGAGACATGGTCTCACTGTATAGCATAGGCAGGCTCTAGATTTACAGCAGTGCTCTTCCCTGGGCCTCTCTAGTGCAGGGATTATAGACAGGAACCACCCCAACCAGTATGAGTGGTTTAGTTTTTAATCTGTGGGGTTTTCCTACATATCTTCTTATTTAAAAAGATTATTTTCTCCCTGTGATTATAAAAGACCAGTTATAGCCAGGCATTCATTGGTGGTGCACACCTTTAATCCCAGCACTCGGGAGGCAGAAGCAAGAGAATCTCTGTGAGTCCAAGACTAGCCTGGTCTACAGAGCAAGTTCCAGACAGGCTCCAAAGTAATACAGAGAAACTCTGTCTCAAAAAAACAATAAATAAATAAATATAAAAAATAAAATACTAGTTGTTATTAGCCATATTGTTTTCCACTGTGCTATTTCTTTAAATCTACATTTTCAGCATCTTGTCCAGTAAGAGAGGTATAACTTTTTTTCTCCCCACAAATACATAGCTTGAAGAATTTGCTGTAATGTTAGATATGATTAGTTGATTATATTACTATTTCCACAGCAGTCAGTGACTATTGTGTAGAACAAATAATTCATGTTCGATAATTGAGTGGATACATAAACATTTATTTAATAAACACATAAGTAAAATATGTGTGATGGGAGTCGAGGGCTTTATATTAGGGTACAGATTTAATTTCATAACCGTAGTTAGAAAATGATAGAATAATGCTTACTTTTTTAATATATTTCCCACATATGACCATTATATTTCATTTAATATCAAATACCAAAGAGTATATGTGTGTGTGTGTGTGTGTGTGTGTGTGTGTGTGTGTGTGTGTGTGTGTATGGTAGATCATTATATTATGTCTCTTTAAGACAGAAAAACTGCTTGCTGGGAAACTGAGGCCCACAGTCAAGGTTAAGACATGCAGCATTTCAGGACTGTGGCAATGTGAGGAAATGTGAACCCCAAGGTGGACGGCATGTGGGGTTCTCATGAGGAAAGAGAGCCTTTGGTTACATCAGCCTTGTGGGGCTTGTCTTTTGTGGGGCCACTAAAATGAGCATGCTGTGGAAGGCACAGCCCTGGGTGGCTCTTAGCCCTGTTTACCCAGGAACTGAGAGGCCTTCGGTGCAACCATGTGAGTGAAGTTCCTGCTTAGCAATGAATGTTATGAAATCCTTGTGTAACAAAGTTATGATTAACACTGTTCCTCAGGGGACATTGTTTCTTCAGCAGAGGGGCTGATGAATCATACATAGTGCAGCCTAACTATTGGATGTGGATTTTTTTTTTTTCTTTTGCACATGCCTTGCAATATTACAGTGGGATTGGCATCAGGTTTCCCCAGTTTTGGGGCCCATAGTTGCTAAAGATATTGCTTGACTTAGGGTATCTGCAGAATGTTTCCAAATTCCAAATCATTCCAAAGAATGATTCCATGGTTGCTCTGGGATCATGTAGTCAAAAGATTTTCTTTAATAAACTATTAAAAGTTTACTCATTTTTTTTTTTGTTGTTGCAAGTCAAAAATATATAAACTGAGCCAGGGGTGGTGGCACAGGCCTGTGATCCCAGAGCTTGGGAGGTGGAGATGAAAGGACCAGGGGTTTTAACATAAGCCTCAGCCATATAGCAAGCTTGAGGCCAGCCTGTGCTACACAAGGTCCTGTCTCAATAAAATAAACTAAAAATAAAAATAAAAACAACTCTGACAAAACAGTGAAACTAACAAAATACCTAAGCTGAATTCTTCAGTTGTATGGTAAATGTCTACTGAGAAAATTGTACATATGTTCCTAGAACTGCAGTTACCTGTTGGAGCAAGCACTTCCCATTCCTCAATTCAAGCTAAAGATTTAATTAGCAAATAATGTTGAGGGCACAATAGCCAGGTACTGAAGCTTTTCCCTGGGGCACAGACATGTTCATTGTTGCTCCACCAAACAATTTCTCCAAGATTCATGGCTTTATAGTGGGAGTGGAGATGGAGGGGAGAAGCTGTCAGGGTTAAAATGGAGTCACACTGGGTGTGGCAGTGTTTTCCATCATCCCCACACTTACAAAGATGAAGCAGCAGGATATTAAGTTTAAGGCAAGTCTGGGCTTCATAGTAAGCCCTTTCTCAAACCAATATGAAGTTGCTTGTGCCAGTTCTTCCCAAAGTCAATGGTTTGGGACAAAATACCTCTTAGAGATACATACCTGACTAAAAACCCTTCCTTCTTGTCCACATCGGGAAGAACAGAGCGGTCTAGGGAAACCCTCAAGTCCATCTTTGGGGCCCTGAAAGGCAATTAAAGTTTAAGCAGAGGGCAGAGAAACAAGCATCTTCCCAGTCCTGGTTGAGGTGTGGTCCTGCCTGCCATTGGCCCATCATTTTCCGGGCTTCGGTCACATTTTTGTAACGTTGTCTAAAGTTCTTCATTTTTGCCACTCTTGATCTGAGAGTGTACCCTGCGCTCTTAGTAAGCCACATGTCACTGAAATGAACCTGTCTACATGGAGCTACCTGTCTACCTAAGGAAGCTAGAATAAGAGAAACACCCTCAAGCATTGCTAGACTGAACATTGCCAATGAATGTATGTGTTTCAGAAAATATCATGGAACAGATTGCTCTGTGGGAATATAGGCAAGACCAAGAACAATAAGGCTAAAAGTGGGTAGAGCAGTAGGTGTTGACAATTTTTAGTTCCTTTAAGTGATCTTGTTACCTTGTTTAGTTCTTCCTGCAATGGTCA